AGGGGATGGGGGAAGCTCCTCGTGGAGGGGAGTTGCAGTGAGGGCAGAAGTGCAGGCAGCACTGTCAGGAGGTGAGCAGGCAGCTCCACCTTGAAAACCCAAACAGGCAGGGCCAAGGGACAGACCCAACAGCCAAAAACACAACTAAAATAGCAAAAGAAGGAGTGTGAGGAGTAAGAGGGGTGAAGAATAAAGGGGCCCTGCTACAGCCAGGGCCAGGACAGCCAGGAGAGAGAGCAGAGGCCATGGAAAAAAGGTGACAGCAAGCTCCCAGGGGTCAATGGGACTGATGGTTGGGGCCTGTGAACCTTCAGATCTGCACCAGTAAACCCTTGGGTGGCAAATAAGCTTTGTACTGCAGGCACCAGCAGGCGAACATAGCCTTAGGTGGGCACCACACAGGGGAAGCATGAGGACAACACCATGCTGCAACCCCAAACCTCATCCTGTGGGGCTGCCAGACAGCCTTCAGCTGTGAGCTGGTCTTCCTAAGGTGGCAGGGAATGTCTCCCTGATGTATAGGGATTTGAGAGAGATGGGGAGCAGCTCCCCAGGCTGAGCTGACCCAGAGGAGCTGGGCTCGGGTACACCCTCCCACACCCAGGCTCACAGGGCAGTAAGTTGTGCCTTGGCCAGGAGAAGACAGATTCCAGCATTCTCCTGGGGACTACCCAGAGTCCCCCAGAACAGAGGGACACCCCCTCAGCCTCAAGGGAGTTAGACACTGGTCCCAGGCACTGGGGGACATACAGTGCCCCAAGCCCACAGTGATGCCCAGGCAATGCCAGCTCAGTGCTCCCAGCCCCACTCACCCATCAGGTGGGTACAGGATACGGCATCACATTGTCCCCCTCCCAGGAGACCCCCAAAACAAGAGGCACCCCAACATACCAGAGCCCCAACCCAGCCCTGGACACGCAGACTATGCTCAGCTGCAGTCATTCATTGTGGAAAGGGACAGGGGGACCCCGCGGACAGCTCTCTGCTTCCCCTGCAGTCACACCACAAACTTGGTCTTGGTGAGGGAGCCACTCTTGGTGGCCGGGCCTGGTACCCGATGGACACCTTCTGTGACAGGCCCAGGTGCTCCTTGTAGACACGCCTAAAAGAGGGAAGGGGCTGTGTGAACGAGGCAACATTGCTTCTCCCACTGGCTCCCTGCCCAAGGACCCCAAAAACTGCATTACCCAATGTGGGTGACCCCTTCCTGATTCTCCGCTTCCCGGGTCCAGATGGCGATCTTGTCCCCCTTGGCGCGGATGTTGATGACAGCCCCGCACACCTCGTCGCTGTACTCATCAAACATCTCTCCAATGAGGCACAGCAGCTGCCGGCAGAAGGGGACAGTCCCCGCTGGGGCTCAGCACTGCGGTGGGGGAAACATGGCTGCTGAGACCCCCCCAAACAGGTCCCCACTCACTGTCTCCAGCCAAAAGCGGTCCAGCTCGGTGTGCCGCTGCTGCTTGGCCAGGGTGATGAGCCAGCGCCCGCCGCGCTTGTTCTGGCTGTCCTCCCACATGGGCTCGATGCCATCCTAGGGTTAGGCAAAGGGGATGGTCAGGGGCACTGAGTGCCCAGCCATGCTTCCCATCTTGCCCTATGGCCAGGGCACCCAGCATGTTCCCATAATTCTGGGTGCTGGAGGGGACTCTGAGGGAGCTGTGGCACAGGGAGTGTCACACCTTGAAGAGGGAGTAGTCACAGCCAGATGTA